GATGTGAATAATGGAAAATGTGCGTTATTTATCAGGACATCTGTTTCTGGCGGAGTTGTCTCCATGTCGCATATGTCACGGAATTTATCGCCGCCGAGAGCGGAGCCGGTCAAGAGAGGTTTGCCAACCTTCTCTTCTCTTCTCTCTACTGTCATTTGGGTGAAAAACTGTCGCCCCAAAAAAGGCCTTTAACAGTGCCTAGGAGGTCTGAAATGCAGTCAGAATACAAAGAAAAACAAGAAGACGCTAAAGGTAAGCTTCAAAGCGATATTCAATGTACATTTTGCTAATTTAGTGAGCAAAGAATATTTCTCCATACAACGTCTTATAATTTTCTTGCTGTATGAATAATTAATTAGCTAAGTAGGATAATGTTGTTCACGGCTTTCATAGTGAGCTTGGGCTACCTGTGGGCAAAGTCGACGGGATCAGCGTTTTGGGCATCCCCCACCGGGGATGCCCAAAACGCTAGGGATTTGGGAATGGGGATGCTCAAAACGCTGTGACACCGGTCCATGTTAGGGGGTCCATGGACCCAGTCCATGAAAGTGGTCCATGGACCCGGTCCAAAGTGGGGGGTCCATGGACCCCTGGTCCGTGTTTTGTCCTCACCCGTTGCGAACATGCCACTGCAGTTTCTTTGGGGATCAGGAGTCTTGTATTATACTTCTCGATAGCATCAAAGGGCATTCAAGGTGTTGTTACTAATTATTTTCGAACTATGAGCCGTCGTTGATCCATCACTTCGCTCTTGAACTTCATCGTCAAGAATCGGAGACATAACAGCCTCGTGAGGCGCAACGGTTTTCAAGATGAACTGAATCAAGACTTTGCTGGAAAAGCCGATAGTAAGACGAGGTAAGCCGCCCTGATTCTTCCCTGCTAGCAGAGGTCTCTCACGACGAGGCAAAATTTTTTGCCTCGTCGTGAGAGACCTCTGCTAGCAGGGAACCCTGATTCTCTTTCTTTCTACCCAATGTAAAAGTCTGAGCTATTTTCACCACGTTTGATTAAACAGAATTGAGGGTCACTCAAGTCCACCTTGTCGGAAGGGTTTGAAGAACGAGTCATATTAGATGCTTTTATTATCTAATGATAATTAAATAAGTGACCCTGTATTCTGTAGTTAAGCCAGTGGAGGAGTTGAAAAGCACTTCTTCCATCCCCTCACTGTCCCCTGTTTAAAACAGGGAGAATGATAAACTGAATGAAAAAAACCTTAAAGTCATTTCAACGAAAGAAGATAGTGAGGATGGTGTGGTCTGGTTATACATTTACACTGTAGATTTCAGTACTTGTTTTGTTTTAAAGCAACGTTTGCCTTACCAATGCATGAGTTCTCTTGTCTGATAAATAAGTGCAAAATAAATGCATTGAAAATAGAAAAATTTAACACCCTTTAAACCCGCATCCGCCATCCGCAGGTATCCGGTCCGCGTTTTACAGACACCCGATTTTTCACACGGTACTGGTTGTTTTTCAGCTTTTTATAAAATTTGTTCTCTTGTTTCAGTTATCATTGGATGGTGACTATCTTGCAAGCGTAGTGTAACGTTGTCAGACTTGTACAAACTATTCAAACCATCCCTCCCAGCGTTTCAATCATCCTTATTCTTTTACAGGTGGCAGGTTATGCTTGTCAGTTGAGTTTCTCTCCAGATGGAAGGTAGGAATCCTGTTTATTCAACGCTTTGTTTATTGCCTGTCGTAGTTTTACATTTAAGCAATAGAAAACGTTTTCCGTGTTTACATAGTGTGGTATAAACACGACAGGGTGTTGGGAGAATTTAACGAGGATTTGCATAAATACCAACTGTGTTTAAATACTCCCACGCAAACATGCCTCTTGGCCAATCAAAGTGCGCGTTCTATCTTAGTTATTTTATAAAATTATTTGATGTTAAATCATTATTTAGTATGCACCAAGAAACGATATAATTTTCGTTTGCTAGCTTTACTTCGTTGTCGTAGGGATGCTTAACAACTTGTGCAATAACTTTTGAACCTTGAGAAATTTCAAAATCACCCTCAAAAAGTAAATAATTCAAAACTAGACTAACTAGAGGTAATCATTGATTACCGATCTGCGTTCGTCACTTACGGAAAAATTACTGAAACGAAATCGAGTCTAAAGGAGTCTAGTTACCCGGCTGAGGTGCCCCTGATAAAATTAATAGGGGCGGCTAATTTGTAGTCGCCCGTGATAGCGTGAAAATTTCTGCTCAAGTGTCACAGAAACACCAAATTAGGATGCGTTCTGACGAGCGCGGACAATGCGATTATGCTAAGCTTAAAGTTTTTATTTGTATATTCTTTGCTATAGTTACCTAATTTCTGGCGACGCTGATGGGAAACTTTGTATCTGGGACTGGAAGTCTACAAAGATCTACAGGTATTGATAACGTTGTTGTTTGCCCTGTTCTATCCAAAAATTATTGACAAATAACTAGAAGAGAGTTTTTGCTTTTCAACCAGAGGTGACCCAAGCTCGAAATATGACCATCAGCACTGTTGCGTAACGTTCAAAATATAAGGATTTGTATGAGAGAAAAAGCAATTGTTTTTTCTCTAATACAAATCCTTATATTTTGAACGTTACGCATCAGTACTGATGGTCATATTTCGAGCCTGGTCAGCGGTGGTTCAACCAGACAGCTAGTAAATGACAATCTTACTTTTGAAACTTTTTTCGAATTTTGTTATTTGTTCTTTCTTTCATACGAAGATATTATTTTTGGCCGAGTGATTCATACAAGTTTATTCTGAGTCCCACTCGAAGACGATTCGTAGACTTCTTATGGTGGTCACAGAAATATTAGTTTCCAGGGGTTTGGGGGTGGGTGAAATTACAGTTTTAAGTTTTTGGACCAAAATAAGTTAACCAGCTTTATCTTATGCATAACATTGGTAGATAATGCTTTGTCTTTGGTAAGGCTGACCATGTTTTGCTGGCAAATGTCAGTGGGATTGGGGGGGGGGGTTGAGATCCTGTGTTTGAAATTTAGGAAATTTTAAGGGGATTATATTCCGACTTTCACACTCCTCTGTACCTTACTTCTGCTCTGCTTACTAACGCAATATTTGTCGATTTTCCTGAATAGTAAGTTCAAAGCGCATGACGCGGTATGCATCGCCTGCCTGTGGCATCCTCACGAGACATCAAAGGTGGTAACCTGTGGCTGGGATGGACTCATAAAGTACTGGGACTGAGTGATAACGGCATTTGTTTATGTGATGTCATCCAAGCAAAAACTAATGGGCACATCCAGGGCTCTTATATCGGTCGTCTAATTAAAACGTTGGATGATTTTTGAGATCGTTGCTTGGTGTTCAGTTGGGACATTTTCGTCATGGCAGAAGGAATTGAAAGATTTTATTATTAGCAGGGTTATGGGCTCCTGGTATTAGTATATTCGTCATCTAATCCAATAAAATGAAGCAAGAATTGAAAGCTCTCAGTAGTCCGAAACATGTAGAAAGAGTCCCCAAATTTCATTCTGCATACCAACACAAGTAATTTTTGTTTGTTTTGTGATGCGTGCTGTCGAGTTAACTACACCGTGCATAGCATTTGACGTGGAATAAAACTCAGTTTTAGAAAACTCACCCTCGATTTCTGGTGGCGAACCTTTCGTTAACGCTCTACTGAAAGAAATCACGAGTGCGCCATATTGTTTGTTACATAATTATATGTTTTCTGTACAGTGTATAGTGCAAATCTGGGGATATACTGGTCTTTTTTATTCATATTGGAGTCGGTATTGGAATATGTAGTTGAAGGATGTACTTTGCGGCTTGTAAAATGTAAATAAAACTTGATTTTTCTCTTTCTGGTTTTTTGCTATTTTTATACTTGTTTTATTAAGCTCTATCAGTTCGGTTTTTTTCTCGGGGCGGCGCAAAAGTTATCCGGTATACTGTGAACATAACTTTAGTGTCGTCACAAGGGGACTCTTGCCCTGGTAATAATTGCCATCCCTCAATTGGTCAAAGTTATACATATGTGTTTCTAAACAAACGCATTAGAGGAAAATTTGAAAAGGCTTTAATTAAAGGTGAATGTTGATTGCGACTTTTCCTCCTTCTGGGATAAGAAATCCAGTTTAGAAGCATTTGGTCAATTCCAAAGAACTATCTATGAGCTAGTGATAGCTAAGCACGAAAAATTAGATTTATACAAATTTGCTCATGGCAAATATGGTGCAAAAAAGGTCCAAACTACGATCAAATGAAGGGCAAAGATGGTAACTACCCCTTTTGCCCCCGAATTTACAACCCGATGTAAACTGGATTGCAAACACAGTATTTACCATCTTTGCCTTTGATTTCCTCGTGGTTTGCACTTTTTTGCACCATGTTTACCATGAGCAAATTTTGTGAATCTACTTTTTCGTGCATTATAAACTTGGCGCAGTTATGAGTCCGAACTCGCCAGTTTCTTGCCCCGGATACACATACATGCATACTTTATTGTTTCCTCCCCAAAGTTGCTTGTCAGGAACAATAATTATTTACAAGCATTACATAGAGGATATTACACGGTGGCGCGAAGATATGAATTTTATTTTCGAGTGGCAAAACAATATTTTACTCACTCGCTGCGCTCGTTCGTAAAATGTTGTTTTTGCCACGAGAAAATAAAATTCATATCTTCAAGCCGACGTGTAATGTTCTTTTTATTATATAGACAAAAAGACATCGATAAAATAATAGATTTTTATTCGCCAAAAAGAAATTGTGACGGCTCAAATTTACAGTACAGCAATATAAGACATTGTTTACAATAATCTTGAGAAATAACACTGAGCTGAATAAAGCTCTACAATGACAAAATATAAGCAAAGCTTTGAAAAATGTGTGATTAAAATTCAAAGGACGCAAGACGCCTACAAATTTTGGAGGGAAATTACCGAAATTACGTCATCGATAAACTCACGTGTGAGATTATGGAAAATACACCACTGGGGTCCCGGATGTAGTTTTTATGAATTTTACGAGTGGTATATTTTCCAGTAAAACACTCGTGTCTATATAATAAATTTCATTACATTTCAATAACTATAAGAGACGTTTAAAAATGTGATCAGGCTCTAAATTGTTCCAAAGCTTAATTGTCCTGTAATAAAAAGTGCTCTGTCCCGAGGCTGTTTGAAAAGAGGGATGTTTAGCTTTTGGCTACTCCGAGTTGTTCGTTTGCTAACTCGCTCACGGGTAATAATTGAGATATAAGATATTCAGGGGCTTAACAGGTCATGCATTTGAAGGCCTTTTAAAATAGCTTGGTGATAGAGTGGTCCTTAACAGACGATCAAGACAGGCTTTTTAAGAGGGGTGTTGCAGGATCATATTTTTTCACACCGTTGGCGATTCGGCAAGCAAAGTTTTGAACAGCATGCAATTTCTAACATACTTATTTGTGATATTTATCCAAAGATGCGAGCAGTAGTATATTTTTGCTCAAAACCATGCAAGGCATGTATTACGGTTAACAACGTATTTTTGTCTAAGCAATGTTTCACACAGTTACTTGTAATTTGCGCTAGTCGTCGTGCGATACATTCCGACACTGTGGTCGTTATATTGTTATCAAATGTTAAGTTCGGATCCAAAATTACGCCGAGATCTCTCGCTGACTGCACTGGGGAGATGTCCTTTCCCAAAAAAGACAAATGACACTCATGGCGCTTAGAGGTCATTTGTCGGCTCCCGCAAACCTGAATTATCTTGTCTGGATTTAGTAGTAGCCGATTTCCGAAGCGCGAGTTGCTCACCTGCAGTAGATCTTCATTCATTTTTTGGACAATCCGTTGGGAGAAGTGTTAATTGAAAGAAACAAACAATTTTGTATCGTCTACATAACATTCCCTAGAGCAATGCCTTGGAACTTCAGGTAGATCATTTACGTGTATGCTAAATAATAGGGGGCCTAGAATACTGCCACGAGGAACGCCACATTCAACTGGAAGAGGATCAGAAACGGAACTATGAACTCGTACAACATGATATCTATTTGTGAGGTAGCTGTTAAACCATTTTAACTCGCTGGGGCCTGTTTCTCGAAAGTCCCGATAATTAACGGGCCCGCAAAACTGTTGTTGTTTACATGCAAGGTAGAAGTTTCAGTATTTTTGCATCTAGCATGATAAAACTATCAGTCAATGAAACAGAAAGGAGTAGTTTGCTAGTCAGAACCCGCGCTCTTATTCTTTATATTTCGATTTGAAAATTTGATTTCGGACCCGAAACGTTACCGGGGCCTTCGAGAAACGAGCCCCTGGTCAAGGCGCCTTTACTCAGATCTAAAAGTACGCAGGCAGTTAATTTCTCATCATCAATTCCTTTGAGAAATACATCAGTTGTATGAATTAAAGATGTTTCAGTAGAGAACCATCCACCACTTTTTAATCAATTTAAATTTGAAGGTAATAATGGAGGTTTCATAATAAATAAGAGGAAAAAAGCATTGACAACATGAGGAGGCTTTTCTTTTCATTTTTAGTCTCATGTGCAAATTGTTTTTTCTATTTATAAAACCAAGGTGTCCAGTCAGCGTTTTCATCTCTGTAATGTTTGGTCTCATAAGTTCAGATTATTGAACAATTCTTCGTTTCAAAAACCTGTTTCCCTTATTTAAAAACCTGATTGTTGAAAAAATAATTACCAGCCAAATATATCGTTAAACATCAGTAACATGTCAAAACATGGATCAGTGTGTTATAACGCCAAAGCCACCATGCTTCAGGGTTATTGACAAATTCGTAAGCAATCCGATATAACTGTGTACTTAAAAAATGGGCTGTAAAAATTGGGAGATAAAACCAAGGTTTCGAAGAAAAAGGTACATTGGTATCTTCAGTTTCATTGTTTCGTGAAAAAAAAGTCGCCAGAATTGTTATTACATAAAAAGGGTTTACTAAGAAAGTAGACAAAGTAAATTTTGTGTGACTTAATACCCCACACCTGAAAGATACAAGCAAAATGCCTCTCATACCCCCACCTCATAAACACACAGCGTCTGCTAGCTAATTTCCTTCTAATAAACACAAAACGTCTGGTAGCTAATTTCCTCCTAATAAACAAGAAGCGTCTGCCAGCTCATTTCCTCCTAATAAACACAAAGCGTCTACTAGCTACTTTCCTCCTAATAAACACAAAGCGTTTCCTAGCTGTTAGTTTGGCTACGAAAAGCCTGTCCCGTGATTTTGCCTTGGATCCGTGGAACTTTCATTCCGCAGAACTGCAACGAGAAGAAAAAAATTAATGATATTAATGGTGCAGATCAGCTTTCCTCACAAGTATAGACAAAATAGATCTGTAGTGTGTAAGTCTACCGACAGGTCTGTATGTATAAAATGGTCTAGAGTTCAAGCTTCGCGAACATTTTCCCATCAGCGATGTTAACATCGTCAAATCGCTGTTTGTTGACTGCAAGAAAAGCCCGTTACACGAGACAACATGTAAGATTTACTAAGGAAAACTAGCATTTTATCGTGCAACCGATTTGCAGATCAATTTTAACGGTGAAACGACTGAGTAATGACAAAGGGTTTGGGGAATTTAAAAAAAAAACCTTAACGGATTTGGTTCTGATTATCCGGCTAGATTCAAAATAAATTAGACAGACAAATATAAGGGTCCAGTGAGTGAGTTCGGGCATCCATGTAAAAATTTCAAATGAACAAACTTCACCTAATAAATCACAGTTATACACATTTAAGTTTCTTCTATTTTTTTCATCGTACATAATTGTACTTCCTCCATAACAAAAAACCGTTCACCTTTTTTTGCTCCGCCTTTCCTATGGAAACGCCCGAGCAAAAATGAAAAGTGTTTAAAATGTTGCACTGAACTATCGTGAGCCACTCCAATTAAGTTCGTTCCTTTTTCTTTTTATTCCTTAGATTGTTAATATCATTTGTGAAAACATTCAACTGAACTAATAAACAAGTGGACATTGAAATTTGTGGTACGAGGCCTCCTGCTGATCGTGCAAAGTTGACTAGTTTAAATGACCACAAAACTATAATAACTTGTTTGCTTATTTATCTGAATACTTACATAATCAAACGTGGCTGCTTTTTCGTGGCACATCACAGCCAGATTATTTCACTCCTGGAAATATATCATTGAGAAGTAAATGAGACTCTTATCCACTTAAATCAAAATTCTTACTCTGACTCTTGAATTCTTTACTCTCATTTCAACATGAAGTTAGCTTGTTCTAGCCGTTCAGATATTAGAGCGCGGGAGAAGAATTCACGAAGAAAAAAAAAACAGGGGAGACCTAGAGGAGAGAGCGTTCCCCCGCCCTCGTTTTCCCGGAGTACAATTTAACTCGCTCTACACCATCTGTCCGCCGCGCTCTACTATATGTGAATCGCCTGCAACAGGCTAACATGAAGTCGATAAAAATGCCTGCGGGCAAAAGGCTCGAGCGGGTAAGATCAGCCTATCTTGCCTGTTTTTTTTTTTTAGATACCCTTTTTGCTAAGGACCAAAATCTCCCTTGCTTAGAGCCTGTTTCGTGTGCCTCTAAAAGGTTTTGTTTCTATAGGTGGCGCAACTTGACATATCTGTTGTAAAGCTTATTCTGTATGGTAAGCTTTACCATACTTACCATACTATGTTTGAATAACCTAGATTTCACTCTTAAGTCATACTCCCTCTGCAAATGAGATAAACTTCCCTTGAAAGGTTAAGTCATTTAAAAGTTATCACCTACACGGAAGCTTAAGGGTCTTGGCACAGTGAGCCCAGTCACAAAGGAAATATATCTGATCTTTATATCACAGAGGGAATAACATTTAGGTAGGCTCCTGATGGTTATGAAATTTTACCTACTTTTTACTGCCATCGAGTAGTTTTTCCTTTTTCTTTGCCCTCCTTCATGGAAGAAGAAAGAAAAAGTGAGTAAACTGACCAATAACTTTGAAGTAAACATCCTGATTGTCCCCAGGTTTACATGCTCATTAAACGATTTGGAACTACTAGTTTTTTATATGTGATTGGTGTTGCTACGTCACTGAGGGGCCTGTTTATCACTAATCAAGGTAGCTTTCTGGCCCGATGCCAAATATCCCAAGAGATATAAAATTGAATTTAAAGAAAAGAAGGGAGCATCCTGCAGAGGATCTATATACCGAGCTAGGATCTCCAGCCAGGACTCGACGCAGGAGTCAACAGTTTTTCGCTTTCCCGCCATTTTCACCTCCTGCAAGTCACGTGAACATTAAGAGGAAGGTTTTCGTGGCAATCATGGAAGGTTAGCTCGAGTTTTGGTTAGGGTTAGGACGTTACCGGTCCTTTTTGTCTTATTTTTTCGTTTATTTATTATTATTATTATTATTATTATTATTATTATTATTATTATTCTTTATTTATTTATTTTTTTGCTTTTAGAAAAATTAGAAAAGTCTTAACTGGAGTCCTGGCTCAAGTTCTGGCTTTGATGTTAGTTTATCTCGATGCCAACAACAGCATTTTGTTTTCGGTTAAGTGAAGGCTTTATCATCTTACCTGGAAAACTATTGAAAGGTCGATTTTGAATGTCAACAAAGTGGACGTGAAACAACTTTTTAGGTCTTTTGGTTACCTAGGGCCAATTTTACCAATCGTGCAATTCACAAATGTGTTCATATTTTTGTGTCCAGAACAATAGAGAATGAGACCCCAGGGTAAAGACACTGCTATTTCTTCTGCTACCACTTCAAGTACTATAACCGTGGGAAGAGGTGGAATCATGAGTTGAAAAACTTACTTCTTAAACCAAATGACTAAGACAATAATCAGGAGAAACAGGAGCAAAATAACCAGCAATGGAATGAGAACATTGATAACTTTAAAACCTGTGAAGACAAAAAGTAGAAAGAGATAAACCTAAACGGGTATAGCTTTCGATAAATATTGAACCACAAAATTCAAAACGGTCGCAACGGAAAACAAATCTCAAACAAATGTGATTTTTTTTGCGTTCTTATAAGCTCCAAACAATAAAAAAAGTCTAATCTGTGTGAGAGCCACCTCTTTATCGCGTTCACCTTGGCTTATTCATGGTGATCATAATCCCTCGGCGAGCTCCAGAATGTTTCCTATTGAGCACTCTGATGACGTCAATAAACTATACCTCGAGTTATTGTGAGCTTAGTAATCCTTCCAAGACGTCTCCTGAGTGCATCCATAACTCAACAGTACAAGGTTAAGCGTTTACCATGCGTTTTGTAACGTAAATTTAGGAGAAAACTTTTAAATTTTTAAATCGATAATGGGAAAAAGAGGTGAGTGTTGTTACGTTATTGTTATCTCCGCGAGCTGTGCGGGCTATGGCCTGTGTAGATCATTCATTAAGAAAAATTAAAAGATACTTCTAGATTATTAATCAGAACGTAACTTAACAATACATAGCCTAAATAGAGCATGCGTTTTACTGTTTTTAGAAGTAGAGCGTGTTTCACGTTAGATTTGTGACAAACAACGTCAGCCTCCACTAGTAAACTATGGCAACACGTCAATGAAAAATTCAAAACTCAACGTTTCGGACGCCAGTAGACTGCTTTTTTTAACCGACTTTCTAAAGTTTTAAGGACTCAAAACATGGTTCGAGTTATCAAGGGTAAAATTATATAGAAATGATCGGAGGGAAAACAAAAACCACTTCGAGTTAACGGGAGGTTCGAGTTATCGAGGATTCAAGTTACCGAGGGTAAACTTACAGTAAATGTATGACGGAAATCCAGGGGAAATCGATTTTGGTTCGATTTGACATTTCTACAATTAAATGTGATTAAAATGTTTACTGTGCAGTACTCCCGGCCATTTTCTTCCAGCTCCCAATAACTCGAACTTTTTTCGATTTTCATTGAAGGCTCGAGTTATCGAAAGTCGACTGTAAATAAATTACCAGGAAAATGGAAAGCCGACACAGTTCTTGCCTTGCAAACAACAGTGAACGCTCTGCGGTTTGGCGAGTGCATTTCGGACCCGTGATTGGGTAGAAATAACGTATATTCCTGGCATATTTCAGATGTTCTCGTTTTTCCCTGTCGCACTGTAAACGTTTAGTTAAACACGGTTTAAAATTGCTTTCTTCATAAAAACTGGTCACTGACTTACGTGTGAGTTGATTGCAGTTTAGTGCAAATTGCAAGACATGTTGAATTTCATTTAAAGTAAAAACCTATATTCCAGTGTTTCGTGTCTGTTTTTCATTAAAACCCGGTTTGATTGGATATGTTTAGTCGGTGTAAATGGTGTATATCAAGAGTTCTCAATGATTCTAACTCAGTATGGACGCCACGGGAACGTTTTTCAACATCTTTCATTAACCGATGGGATCAAGAGTTGATCCACACCACATTCCTTGATTTGGCATGTGAGCATTCAAATTGGGAACGACAGTCATTGTTTATTGCTCTTTTTTTGGGTTCGTGCCCTTTTGAGTTTTATCAGGAGCCTCCTGGTTTACCCCAAGTAATATTGCTCGAGTCATGTTCTTTTTGCCGGAAAGATTTCAAAATGCTTGACTGCTGAAGGGGCCCCCACCCCTACTCCGGAACCGCACACCCCCTAAAAGAAGTATTTAAAGACCATAATAATCACCTTTTGGTTTGCTTTGTTTATTGGCGTCTTTTTCACCCTCCGTAAGGGGCCTGGGGACAGAAGTAGGGACAGGTGTCATTCCTGGCTCCTTGTAAGAAGGTGTCACCGTAACCGTTGGCTCTGTTCTCGGAGATGAAGTTATCGCCATGGAGACCAATGTGCTAGGATATGAAGTCACTTTCAGGATCGAAGAGGTTTCGATTACATACTTCTTCTCAGAAAGAGCTGAAAAAAAATTATTTCGATAAATAATGCGTCTCTTATTGAGTTTGTAAGCTGATCATTAGGTCTAATACCTGCAGCTATACCTGTCACTTAAGGCTCGCTTCGGAGATGCTCATGTACCTACAAGCTATTTGTTCAACTTCAAAAACTTTTTATTAAATTACTTTCTTACTTGTAGCCCCTCTCGGATGGCGTCTTTACGATTCCGTTTCTATCCTTAGGAGCACTGACGTAGATTGTGCAGGAGATCGCGGTAAGTGTGGTACGACAAAATAGGAAATTGATTGTAAAGGACGTAACTGATGGGATGTTTAATATGCCCCCCTGAATATGCCAGATCTGAAGATATTATTTCCAGGCCCTTATTCAACTCTCCCAAAGAGCAGGTCAGAATTAAGTTTGCTTATCCGACAGACATGTCTTGTCGATAATTAATAGTTGTATTTTTAAGTCAACAAAAGTAAAGAATCGAGAAAAACCTATTAATAAATCTTTAAATTTGTTGGTGAATTAACTACCCATTTTGTAACTTTTCGGACCCGAAATGTTTTCGGGACTTTTGAGATAGGTTTTGGAGAAATTGACATGGTGAATGCAAAGAAAGCAACGTCTTACCTTTCGTACGTTGTGAAGTTACAACGCTATTGCTGACTGATGTGATTTTAACGTTACTACCTGACAAAAGCATATTTAGTTAACATGAGATGATGTTTTTTCGTCGCATTTATTTCTGTATTATATTCTTTCTATTTTTTTCCGTGATGGACAAAATAGTCAAGGTCTTTTAAAGGTAGCCCAGAACGACAAAAAAAAACCTCAAAACCTTTCTGTCGCTCAAACTAGTCTACTGAGTTGAAATGGCGGTCCTTCTTATTGTTGTTATTAAGAACCTCGTTCCTGTGTTGACGAGGATAATATATCAGCGAGTTATTTTCCGTGGACGTTATTGATCTTGGGTCTCCGTTTTGTCTGGTCTTCCCCAAGGAAATGTGTTGGGACCCGTTTTATTCCTGCAATCACGTAACAATTTGCATCTAGCGGGTGTTTATACAAGAGGGGTTGGAAACGTAAAGATTTTCCAACCTGCCGATACTAGGGTTTTGCGAAAAAAGAGGTAAAAATATGAAATACTAGTTTGTTTTAGACTCTCTCTGATTGATACTATAATTGCGGTAGAGACCGCATTGCCATCCGTATACCCTTGTTCTGTAGACAGTGAACAGTCATGGTGCTTTTTTAATTTCTTCAGAGTATAAAAAAGAATGCCTGGACTACTAAAAGGTATAGAGTGAATTTACTAAACCCGTGAATAGGTAGTAGAATACTACGGACTATTAGAATTCTATTGTCTTCTTTTGTTCATTTGCAGCTATTTGCACTAGTTGTTATTAACTGTTTTATGGGTCAAGTAAAATCGCTCTATATGGAAACATGAAAAAGATTAACATACTTGTGGCTGGAATTGTTGTGGTACTGCGAGGTTCACAGTTTTTACCAACAGAATCATCCAAACACTGACAGCTGTAGTCATCAACGTTTGGAATACAGGTTCCGCCATTCTGACACGGGTTTGTATCACATGGTGTCCAATCTTTATTATTCATTACACAAATAAAAAAAGCATGAAGTCAGTTCTAGTTACAACTCTAAATATTCAAGGATTTGGTTCGATAGACACAGTGAAAAAAGCGGGGAGTTAAGGAAAATCTTCCAGCGCTACCTTTAAATGATGCACCTGTTATTTCCTTGTTAAACGTTAGATTTAACAGGGATTTTTCTGTTTTAGGTCAATTCTGTGTTGAAGTCATTACTTACTGCGTTTAATCATACACCATTGCTCCGTTAGAGATAATTAAGACAGTATTTAAACAAAACGCTTCAGGGAGCACTAATCATAAGACTTTTAAGGTGATTTTGAAAGTTGAAAAGGTTGGCCAACTTTCCCTAGTCAAGTTTCAATCCATGTCCATCCTTATCATCCGTTACAACAGACGACATGAAACAGTTGTATCACCCACTAATGTAATAATCCCGGGGGGGGGAGAGACTCCGCATATGATAAGGGAGGGGATGCTCGTCGGAAATTTTTAATTAAACCCCTAAAGGAGACCGATCTGGGCGTGGCCCAAGCTTTTTTTGACCCGTAAAAGAGACCATGTTAAAACACAGACAATATATATATATTTTATATTTTTTCGCGTGCAACCGTAAACGAGACCTTCACGGCTAAATATGATGGCGTTTTGCCCAGATCACCCTAAGTGAGACCGAAATTTATACCCCTAAGCGAGACGACAAGTATCCCCACCCCTTTCATATGGGAAGTCCCCCTCCCCCGGGGTAATAATCGACCACTATTGTAACGCTAACTACTATTGTAACAAATATCGACCACTAATGTAACAAAAAGTTAACCACCAATGTATTAATTTTTTAACCTATGATGTAATAAAAAACTTAACCACTAATGTAATAACATTGTGACCATTAATGTAAGAAACTCAAAGAGAACAGCTGATTGGTTATGTAGAATTATTAGGATTTATAAAAAAATCTGATGCGACCTCCTGCTTTGATGCCAGGCATTGCCGTTTCAACGCCCAGCGTTGGTCACGCGTCCGTTGCCTAATACTTTGTATCACTGTAGAGGTTCATATGTTAGTGTGCGTATATATTGCAAATCAAATCCCACCAAGTGTTTTTGAGTTTGTTACTTTAATGGTCGCAATGTTACTGCATTAGTGTTTAAGTTCTTTTTTTAAAAAAATAAAAAAATAAACGGTGCTAGCTTTCTTCACTTGCAGCCAATGGCTGAATTGCGGAGGAAACAGAGAGGTGAGATCGGACGTCAGCGTGTAAAGGTGCACTCTTGCAGCCACTTCAGTCCTTGTTTTGATCACACCTCGTCCCCCCAGACCGATGACGGTACAAGTCAGAGACACCATGACATCGGCGCCTACGTCCCCTACTCTTTTCGAGCAATTTTACAGGTTCTTTTACGTCCCCTTCCAACTGAAGTACAAGGATGAAGGAGACAAGGCCAACGGCTTAACGTCACCGCCCAATGACGCGATCATCTGAACTGAGAAAGGGCATTCACAGCTAGAATGATCTCAACAGTTTTTTAAAGACCTTGGTTGATGGTGCGGCCCTGGACGGCCGGGGTTTGAAGTCACGACCTCCCCGCTCAGCAGACCGGTGCTTTTCCAACTGAGCTAACTGCGCGGCGGTTACATTAAAGGTTAAAAAATTATTACATTGGTGGTTAACTTTTTGTTACATTTGTGGTTGATATTTAGTACAGTAATGGTTATTATTATTCAACTTCACTCAGCAGAGTACAAATAACACCCAAAACGAGTACAAATATCTCACGGTATTTGTACTCCAGAAGACCGGTTTGACTCGTTTTCTACAAACGTCGCCCAAGGCAGATAATGCATCGTTTCCCGAAATTGTATAAAGGTTGAATCAGAAACCGTGTTTTCAGAATAAAGTTGCCTCAACAATGAAATTTCGACATTAATTAAAAACAGTCAGAACATACAAACATTATAACTTCAAAATTCTACAACAGAGAAGGTCAAAACAGACCTGAACGTGTGCATTAGATGCAAGGTGACGGCGACAATCCGTGACACAAACAACGTTGATTTATTCAATGTCCCCCGAGGAGCGTAACAGTCTCCACTTCTAGCCCTTTTCAAATGTGAGGAAACTCGATAGGGAAGACTTTAGACGTCTTCTAAAGACTTAACGTTAGTACTAATCCAGGCCAAGATGAGGTTTCAAGTCCGTTACGTTTTTTACGAGTAGCTCCTTCAATTTCGCGGGAGATGTTTGGTCTTTGCATCGCCATTTGCTCTGCTCAGTTTACCCTCTTGCAGTCGGTTTTACATAAGAACCGGAAGACCTTCCTATTAGCCTCACAATTATTTGTCATTCCATCTCTGTTTTCCTAGCAAATATTTGAAACGTTCTCCGAGGCGCCGAAGAAAACCCAAGAAATTCGCCAAAATTTGCTTTGCTGAGAATTAAAACTCGTTTAACAAGTTTTCATTTTAGACCAATCAATAACAACGTTGCCTAAAGCGCGCTAGAACTGGACTTAGAAAGGAGTCGCGTTAATCAGTCACGCGTTCTCGTTTTATGTATTTACTGAGTCTACTGAGTTATATTTTAAAACATTTCGAGTTGAATAATAAATCTCTAACCAGTTGGTTTAGTGTGTAGTATCGTGGGACATTTTTACTCGTATCTTGTATTTTGACTCGCCCTACGGGCTCGCCAAAATACGGCGTGACTCGTAAAAATATCCCACGACACTACACACTAAACTCCCATAAGATATATGTATTACATTAGTGGTTGATATTTATTACATTAGTAGTTAGTGTTACAATAGTAGTCGACCCACTATTAGTGAGTGGTACAGCTTCAATGCCTAAATATAGTCTTAAATGCTAAGACTAGGTCATTTTTGGGAGTTCGAATGATGCCAAGACAAGTTTTAGCTTTTTAGAAAGATAGAAAATACATAGCCCCTTTAAGGTGGTCTCCTAACTACAAGATATAAAGACTAAATACCCTTTGGGAGTCGGCATTATATAGAGTAGGCGATTCACTTGGCAAGGGAAACACTAAGAACAGTTTCAAGGCTCACTACAGTGCACTCTTTACAAAGTACTCAGAGCTCAGGCTGTTCGCATGGTAATGTAATAGCGAGTTGAGCAATCCAAGTTCAACTTTAACCGAAAGGAGTTTCTCACATAAGAAAAGTTAATTTTAATGGAAAGAGACCTAAGTTTTAAGTGCAGGGTAACTTTTAAGTTACTCTTGATAAAATCTTATAAAGTTTCATCTAAGCTTTGGTCCTATTATGGGAATGGGTCTCCAGATTAGATCATCGTTGCTTTTGCTAGGTGATGGGCATTCCTTGCACGGTGCTATTTGTGGAGTCACAGGAATATATGACACTTCGATAAGACACGTGATTATAATCAGTATATAGCACAGGCGGCCCAAGCTCAATTTATAAAGGTCGTTCAACGGAAGGATTGTATGGGCGAGCAAACATATGTGAAAGTGAAGAATGATCATCGCAGTAAATTTTCCAATTTAAGCAATTGGAAAGAAGAAGCCTGAAAAAAATCAGGGCTTCAACGGGATTCGGACCCGTGACCTCCGCGTTACCGGTGCGTTGCTCTACCAACTGAGCTATGAAGCCACACATTGGGAGCGAGGTCAATTTATTGAGTTCATATCTCCCATGAGGAGTGAAATGATGTGAAGTATAAATGAAATAATTCATGAATTATTATGAATTATTTCATTTATACTTCACATCAAACATATGTGAGTTGTTGTGTTACAACAATCGGTTCAAAGATTACAAAGGTTTTTATGGGATCGCGACTGATTTAATTAAAAAAAATAACTATAATTTTTGTTTAAAAGTTAACTTGACGTCTTTCCATGTTGCATTCCTCGTCTTTTATTTGCATTTTAGCCCCATTTCTGCGGATCTCGACGATTTACCGTGGATCGAAACTGTTCCGGCTAGCTCAATGGGATAAGCGCCTGTCTGCTGAGCGGGAGGCCGTAGGTTCAAACTCCGGCCGGATCAACATGGTTTGACTTTCTAGTCTTCTCGGATAAGGACGATAAACCGTTAGGCCCCCGTCTCACAAGCCCTTGCACATGTAATAAAAAATCTGTGGGAAGTTAACTGAGAACCCACACACTCTTCGTAAAGAGTAGGGCACGTCTAAGACGTCTTAGACGTCCTCTAGTATAAATACGGCTAATCCTTCCGTTGAACGACCTTGTTACACAACACCACACGATATTTCTATAATCGCCTAATTTGTCTCATTATGTAATGATTTACGTAATAATTTGTTATCAAGTCATGCTGATGACACTTGATTGACTACAGTCATCATTGCATTATCCTTGTTATGATTTGTTTGTTTGTTTGTTTGTTTTTTTTATATTAAAGCTTTTGCAATACTGTAACTACATAATTATAGTCATGCAAATAAAGCTTATGTTGTTGTTGTTGTTTGCCTATTGTTTACTAAATTGAGCTTGGGTCGCCTGTGTTTACAGAGGAGAAAGGTGGGTAGTCACCTGTCTAATGGCCCTGATGAACACAAATATTGAGATGAAATTTTGAGATGAGTAATATCTATTTCTGTTTCGTCAATGTCAGTGAGTTTTTCTCGAGAATAAGAAACATCTGCATCTCGTAGGAGATGCAGATTCTTTGATTGCCCTATAACAAGGCGCAACAAACCTTTTTCGCAAACCGACTTGTGTTTAGTTGAACATACCCTCGAATGCCACTTGAAGTTTTTGTCTTTATACATATGAACACAGTGTTTTTTTGTGTTTGGATGACCTTTTTTCCAGTAAGTAAAGTTAACCTTCTCTCCACTGACCCACTCAAATGTGTTGTTTGTGCTGTTTTGACTGTTGAGACCATTCCAACCCCCAGCGTTTCCCATGAAAGTCTTCAGAAATTCCTGCTCATGAATATCATTGACAGTTACAAGATTGGCTTGTTTCGATTCACAGTTGGCCTGGGCATCAGTAAATGTTTTACTGTCCACATCACGGAAATAACAGCTCCTATGATAATATGACCAATCTTGCTCGCAGCTTCTATCTGCAATACAATGTTGGTATCATTTGCCAATTTTAGTTCGGGTTTTTAAAAGATGGAGAGTGTGGATTTGTTTTGAAGTTTTGAGAGATACCATGCATATGCAAAAGAACATGCCTTACAGTTTCGTTAATAAAACTTTAAATGTCTATGTCTTCTTCTTCTACACAAATCATTTATATTTTTATATATATTCTTATAAACCCAACCTCATCCCCAGGTTTGTTCCGGTTTATCCCAGTTTACAAGGAAAAAGGTCTGGGAATGAAGTTGCTTACACAGATCGACAGAAATACTGATCAGCTTTCCCAACACATATCGTGGGAGAGATGTCGTTTGGTTTCCAGCCAACAGCTTCTATATGTGACGGCGGAGCTGGCGTTTAAAGAAGTGCTTTGCACTCGGCTCGGTAGTAAAGGGCCTCTGAACACAGCTTAGATGACCGTACAGGGGTCTGATAAGCTGATAAGGCCTGATAAAAGTGAAACAGCTGTCCATGGCTGCCACTGCCTGGGTGATATGGCTGGGCGCATGCGTGAGGTACTGGCCATGCAAGCGTTGGGATGGTGTAGGTGTGTCCTTTGCTTCAAAGTTTTATCACCATCATCATCACGTCTCATCGCGCCAGTAGGCGCAAAAAGCCTCCACGCTGTCTGACCAACACTCTCAGTGAGTGTTGTCTCATTATCAACGCTTCCAGCCTCGTCCCCAGGGGTCCCTTTTGTCATGCGCCGGAAAAATCCCGATCCCCGTCGCCGACCAAAAGGATCGCGGCCTCTGGGAACGAGATTGCAACGCTTCTTGTTTCTGTAACAGTTAGTGTTTTTGTGTGGTAGGGTCGTTTGCCCAACCTGGAGGACCAGGGGGTCACTCTTTGGCTGGTCTCTACCCTTAGTCCAGGAGTGCAAGACTTCAGCCGACGTAGCTCTATGGATCATTGAGACACGCAAACTGTCCCACCATGATAAGGTGGTGACCCCATTTGCTTCAAAGTTTGCTTTCTAATAAAAAAAGTAAACAGAGCAGCAAATCCCAGTTTTCAGAATTCTTGTGATTTTTTTTTTTGGAATTCGCAAGAAAATTGGGTAGGTGGAAAGGAGAGGAGAGGTATCTTCTTCTGTTCGTGTGACGATTTCGCAGTTTGTTTGTGGTGAATAAAGTTTGCTCTGACATGCTTCACTGCTTTTAAGAGGATTTTATAGCCGGCAAAGTGAACGGCCTGTCCATCCTATTTTCTTGTCAGAGATCGAAACAATGTAAATATTTCTTTCTAAGTGTAACCTGAAAGAAAATCCATGATACCCGAGAAGTGACAAGTCCTTCTTGTGAAAAGTGACAATTTTAAAAGAAATGAAAGTTTCTGTCACTTAATGTACAAACCCTTCAATGATTTTCTTAATGTTTTGCTGACGAATCATTGACTTTGGGAATTAGTTAAACCTCGTCTTGATATATCTATAGTACAATTGTGGCTTCCCTCAGCTCCCCTGCCCTAGGCTTAGTGTCTGAAATCCCATTTTCCCAGGGCAAAAACCCGCAGGCCAGTCCCAGTTCTCGTTGGCCCCTTTATGGACCTCACACAAATAATTTTTCAGATTCTGAGAATTGCCCACGATGCTCGCCCAAACTGTTGATTATCGCCCAAATTATAATGAATCAAATAGTCGTCATACTTTAGTATTCATCTTATTTTTATAATTACTCAGTAACCACTTGTGTTTAGGAAAAACTGTTTGAATGCAGAGGTCCACGCAACGTTTGTTACGCAACTTGTGTTTGTTACGCCTTTAAGAAGTGAATTGCTTAGTGTACAGGATATGCTAACTAGAAAGTAAAAAAACGTTACATTTTGTTCAACTTACTTTCTGCTCTGGAAACAGCAACTGAAACAGAACAAAATGATGGTTATTCTTAAATTTGCTTTCAAGAGCATTGAAGTTTTCAATTTGTTATTGCGGTGCTTATCTAAAACTGTACTATTTGGGAATAGCTGATTACTACTGTAGTAACTTCCTTTTTCTTTGATTCTTTAGAAAACAATTACAATGCAAAAAAGGTCAGTCAATAAAAGAAAATAACGATATCTGCCGTGTTCTCATTTCATCTTTAAATATGTTCTTAATCAATTAGAGTTACAGTGAAGCAGAAAGGATGCCGCTCTTATTTGGTGGATGCTTTTGAAGCGAAAAGGCAAGAGAAAGACGGGGGGCCGCTGTATGATCTGTTGAAAATGGTAAAACTGGGCGCGCTAACACGAGAAGAATCCGCCCGTGAGGAAAGAGGAAGGACTTCATTTACGTGTTACCTCGCTTGCCCAAAACGCCTGAAGCGCAGTTTCATTTGAGAGCCGCGTCGTTTCATAATGCTTTACTTAACAACGAAAACAACAACAACAACAATAAGATACTTACAATGTGTAATGAACAAAGCTACTTGAAGCAACATAATCCTGTAGCTGTAAGAATATCTATGAAAAACGGAATAAAAAGATTTAAGACCAAAAGTTTGAAGACATTTATAGCCAAAAGTTTCCACACCCACATTTAAACTTAATACTAGCCAATGATGGAATCAATTTTACGCATATTTCATTCGCCAAAGTGTTACAATGCATAAAGAGTTGGTCAGAGGGCCAAATGAATGTCAGAAACGATAATTTAGACCCCCCAAAAAGTCAGGCTAGGCTGGCCAGCGTAATGGATTTCAGAAAACCGGCTTTGTTATTGGGTGCTTCCGTCCAATTTAACGTACGTTCGAATCTCATCTGGAGCTCGGAATTTTTCCTGAACATTCTGATGCTTGATTTCCATTTCTTTCAAAACTAATAGATCAAGACGGTAGACCTTCATAAATAATAGCCAGACATGACTAAGATTCTGCTACTAAATTTACGACTTCAAAGATTTTAAGAGATCGCCGGCCAATCAGTAGGTGTCTCAAGATGCCCTCCTTCGAAAAAAAATTAAATATATTTTTGTCTTAAGATTTTGACATTAAACCAGTAAAACGTTTTAAATAAATTATTATTTTGCTTACTTTCCGGGCAAACTTAGAGTTGTACCATCATCAGTATCTAGAAAACTCAGTCTTTTGCGCTGATCGTTTTTGCGCAAGGAAAGGGAAAAAGGTTGTGGTTACCTTGGAGTAATGTTCCAACTGATTAATTCCTGTTTGGCCTCCGCAGGACAGATATCAGTAGATAGATTAAAATTGTGAATACATTATAATAGGAACTGTTGGGAAAGATGTCTTAAAAGAGCTAGACAGTGGTAATAGTTTTCTAGCAGAGGGATCGAGACTGATTTTTTGTTGTAGCTAATATTTGTGTGCAATAATAAAGAAATGCATCCCTCGTATTTCTTATTTTCAGAGCTGTTGTTGAGACTGGTTCTCAAGGAGGGGTGTCATTTTTAGTAAATTTTAAGCACTACTTTACAAGATAATTATCCTGCACGAGATAGGTCTATCACCTCTTGTGTGGGGCAAAACTTTGTGCTAGTATGAAGAAGAGTGAGTTGACGGGGTTAAATTTTAAACGGCGAGAGAAAATCAAAAGTACAAGAATTCCCTTTTACAGTCGTGTTTGCAATCTTAACTTCCATTGGAAGTATTGCTCGGCCAAATTTGTGTATTATCTTAATTCTAAGTAATAGCATGTGAAAAACATATTATAGTAATTAATTCATCTCCGTTTGTTCTGTTTTTACCTTATTGTACACAAACATAACAAAATACGTATACGCGTTTTTTTGCCCATTGATGTACTTACCTCTCCCAAAAAACTTCGAGTCTGTTCTGGGCTTGCGTGCAGTCAGGCCAGTTCTGATACTATGACAGAAAATTTGCATAAAAATTACTGCACACGAAAAAAATTCTTCCATTCTATGCCGCTGTTAGTTTATCACAAGTTTTAGGAAGAACATAATTGAGAAAGGAATAAAGCATATGACATATGAGCTTTTTCCATCCCAACTATCAATAAAGCTAACACACTGCAGGTTACACTTGTTCACGTCTCAAGAGCAAATTTCGCAACTAAGCCTCGGTTTGAAATTATAAATTAGCAAAGGTTTACACTGATAAATTCCCAACGCAGTAGAGACTGCCCAAGCAACAAAAAGTGCAAATGCATTGTGGTGCCAAGGGCCATTCGCTTTTCCTTGTGAGTACTGAAATATGCAAACAATTCAATATTTTAATAAAATTGTTTTCCATGTAAAGAGGACAGTGGTGGATATTGTGACTTATTTAAACAGGAAAACAAAAAAACAATTGTAGAGGAATAAATGTATCGATTTTCCTCTTTACCTCAAAGTCTGTCAAGTAAATGTTGTTAAATTATACTCTGAGGATATAAGTGTACGAGTGTAAATAAATTCAATTCGATATATAAGAAGCTTAAAAATAAAACAGAAAAATAAAAATAGTTTGTCAAATAAGAATTTAGTGGTTATAAGCTCAGAGAAGTACCTGGACATTTGATTCTTCTGCCTCTACTTTACGCAACGATTCTACTTATAAACGGCTCCTGTTTCTCAGCCGAAGTATGACTAAACTATTTGCTCCACCTGTCGCCTTACTGAAGCGTTTGCCTTTTTGTTTATAATCCTTTATTAACTTTCCTTGCCACGGAACTGAGCTACAAATCACTGAATTATTAAACGTATGTTAATATTTCAGCAATGGCTTAGCAATTTGCTCCGGCCTTGTGATCTTGAAATGTTGAAGTGGTAGTGTTTTATTAAGAATACGACGTGCCTAATAATCTGTAGTTGATCTTATTTCATTTACCATCTTTCGGCTCGTAGAAATTTGTTATTGATAAACAGAGAACTAGCAGAATATGCCTGAATGTAAAATAAAAACTGTATTGTCTTATTATTGTCACGAGGGTTTTTTAAAAGGGCATGACAACATTCCTTGTTTGCTCTTATGGTACTCCAGTAACAATATTAGAATCATGCCGCGACTTAAACAGTAAAAAAAAAAGCTCTTTAAAAGCTCTTTAAAGTTGACTCAGACACATGCTTTGATATATCTGATCTAATCCTGTCGATTTTCAGTAGACATTTCCTAAGCTGGATATACAGCCCAAGCATAGGAGAGAACAGAATTTTTACATCTTAATTAGAGCTCATTTTGACAACTGATCAATTCATCTAAGGATAAAAATTCTGTTAGAGAAATTGTTTGGTGGAAAAAGTGCATTCTTTTTTTGGAACTGTATTAGATAAGATCTGAAACAAAAGCTGAGAACATAAGACCCCTTTACTAGGTATACATGATAGAGTGCTGGCCCCCCAGGTAAGAGTCTAGCCTTCAGCAGGGGAACGGACGACTTAAAACAGTGTTCTCAGTCAGTACGTCGTGTTAAAACATTGACACTTGAAAAGAGCACCTTTTTTTCGCATAACGACTTGGGTAGTGTAATGTAATTTAAGCATTTTGTGTTACGGGTAACTTGTTATTCAGATGATTAGGGATATTTGCAGGCAATCATATATCGATGAAGCCTGCACAATATAAATACAATCCCAACCAGTATTTTGCTTCACATCCATGTCACAAAATCTAACCGAGCGTTTTAACATATCAGATGTGTCAGCATTTTTGCTGTATATGAGAGAATTCAAGACATGTAATGAGCACGTCTGTAAAGCTTGATATCAACCGAAGGTCGCATGTGTTTTTTCAACTTCTTAAAAATTTTCCTAACCCAATGTGAAAGATAAGTACTATCCACTTTTGTATAAGCGGGCGCAGCGAAGCCGTTGTGCATTTATTAAAGTTAATGCTAGTAGTGGAACTCGGAGCATGTCGGAGAGCGTCAGAGAACACGTTGGGAGCTTACTCTTGAACATATATTTTTTCAGAAATCTTTTAAGCCTAATTCTGATTTATTCATTGGCTTCTGAACCCAACAAACAAAGGAGGTGTATTTTAGCGTTTAGTGAAAATGTCGACAGTATTGCTCCGTTCATATCCAAATTTGCTGAGTATGCAAATTGTCGGATTTGATGCATGGCAGGTGCAGATGGTACCCATACCTAAATATTGCGATATTTTTCGCATTGTAGAAGTGTAGAGGAACGAAATAATGTGCACTATTTGGGGCATGGACGTGATATCAGTTGATTTGTTAATCATTCAATATCATACTTTAAAAAGCGATGCGACACCCAAGGGTTCCTTCACTGGCATGCAATTAAAGTGTATTTCAGTGCAGACACGAATTTTCTTTCTCTCGTTTTTAGTCCTACAGTATCTGTAAAATTTGTATCCAAAATTTAAACTCCTCAATAATCTTGCAAAAACTATTTTTATGTCCTCAAAACACGCAAATTTGTCTTAAAAAATGTTCTCCCTTTCGCGCAGCTAAATTGACAGGTATTACGTAGAATTACAGATATTTGCAAGAATGTATATAACTAAGAAGATGCATGGAGGCAAATGCGAAGGTTTATCATTGCCTTAAACTCCCCAATTATCTGCAGAATCTTTATTTACTTAGCCGTACCTTTGTTACAGTCAGTTACATCGCTTAATGACCAGAATCAGAAGCGAATGCAAAGTAAACTAACTGAAGTCACATGACTTTATCAGCCTTTCTTTCACCTTTACTTATTCCAAGTCTTTTCAAGTCAAATTTTTCGGGAGACATATCAAGTCAACAATTGTTGATTAAACTTATTTATGGACCAAAATCAGTTTGAAAAAAATTCTTGTCACAAGCTTGAACTAAGAAAGAAAAAGTCATCAGTCATCGTGTATTTATTTTCACGTCCTTCAGATAACGTCGCCTAAGGAAATTTCATGTCATGGTCGTGTGGGGACGGCAAAGAAATGTACACCTGAAAAAGCGTGCTTCACGTTTAAAATTTGTTGTTTAACTTTTTGAACCCCGGCTTTTTGACGTTGTTCTCGTTGTCATCGCCGTCGTCATTGCTAAACTGCAACCCAGTTTCATCGATGTGTGTAAACTGTTGGGAATCCGGCCGAATGTTCTTTTAGTATGAACGCTTGCGAAATGATCCTCATACCATCAATGTTATAAATACGGAATACTGAATCCAAATCATTTATGAATCCTCTAGTGTAACCGCAGCACCTAAGCCTACAATCTAGTGGTATCTCAGACTTTTATTTGCAAATGAGTGATTCTCTTAAGGCTATTTGCCATATTACTTTTGACCGAAGAAGCACCATACGTTGATGTAATCATGTCCTACTTCGTCTAGTGCGAAGACAGGCTGAACTGAAAACAACGTGTTGCTATTCGCGCTTTTCCAGCAGTTTCTCTATGTATCATATATCATTGAATATTCGGTCTACCAATAGACTGAGAGCAGTCTCTTTTTTTCTTCAGATTTAGTGAGAGGAGTGCATGCGCGTGTGAGCGTTCAGTAACCTGCGTGGTCATTTGCGTGTCTCGCGCGTTTTGTTCGATGGACCAAGAAAAAAGAGAGACTGCTTGCAGTCTAGTCTACCAATGAATCACGTATTTTTTTTGGAAGCCGACATTCGAGAATAACTTTTGAAAAGGAAAAATTAAACAGTCGGCTGTTTAATGCATTGAGCCAAGCCGTGCTCTTAAAATAGTTATCTTTTATCTATCTTATCCTTTGCTTTTATTCACTTTTGTAATACATATTATTTTATTATTACTTTTTTTTGCCCTCGACTTTTTCAGGTAGGCACGTACGTACCGTGCGTACAGGTAGCTTCGCCCCTTATAGTTGCCCCTCCCTTTTCGTTCAGAAAGAACTAAATCTTCCAAACCACCACCCAGCACCCTTTAACATTCAATGACCGTTCGTTTGGTCAAAAAAATGGCAAACCGTGTTTGCCTACACAAAGCACTTCATCAGAAGCTTTTAAGACAAAAAATCTTAATAGAGTGACCGATCAATAAACTTCACTTGCTAGTTCTAGCCTGTTACCTCAAATTTTCAAAACGGTAATTCCCCCATTTAACATTGCCGGTACGAAGTTGCAAAAGCCATTGCGTGTTTGCAAGAGGTTTATGGTCTCATTATGACCTGCCATTATGTGACAGCTGTTCTTCACTTCAATTAGCATGAAGTAGTATGAAAAAATTTAAGCATCGTTTTGAAGACATTTTGATAGTTTTATTTTCTAAATTTAAGCGTAGGAGGACGGAGATATTCAAAATGACAAAGAAGGCGGCAAATTTCTATTTGCTGAAACAAGTGATGGCTATGTGTATTGAATTTTGACAGTTTTTTAGTTGGAGCGTCGAGCATATAAGCATGCACTAATCGCGAGCGAAAAGAGCTGTACAATATCCTCCTGAACAATGTATGTGAAAAAAATAAATTGGGGTTGATTAACGTTTAATCCTATTGCTAGAAGTTTTTTCAAGAAGCGTTTCAATTCATGCCTTTTAGACCTGATGTTAGTATCAAAGTGAAGTGGCGGCCGAGATCATTCAAAAAAGAATTAAAAAAAGTACGTGCGCTTGAGCTTAGTGGTCACGTCTGAAACAGCTCCGCTCGAACTTTTGAATTTTTGTTATGATTTGATAGCCTTTTAATCTCTTTTTCAATCAACTCTTTTCGTGTACTATAATATTAGAACTTCTGAGACTGACCTGCCTCGATAAGCGTAGCTACCTGCAGATCAGTAGGATTGTGAACAGAACGTATTACTCAAAAAATAAACTTGGAACTTGAAACTGTTAGGAATTGTATAATAAACTTACCTGGTAAACTAGCTACTGAACTTTTCGATTTGTCCTTAGCTAAACAGTATGCTAATTCCTTGAAAAGGGCTGTGAAAATAAAAACGATATCTTAAACGTTAACTTGGTAGTGGCATCAGAGCCCATTTACTATCTTGCCAAAGAAACCCAACATATCGTTATTATTATTTTTGGCTACCATATCGTGTGCCAAATTATGAATTATTTTCTTGCCAAAACCCACATCACTCACAGTTTAACTGCCTGCGTGCAGACGTCTCCTGTTTCCTCTGTTGCACGGGGAAAAGGGACAACAAAGGAAATAAGAGACGTCTGGACGCAGGCAAACAGTTTAAAGGCCGATACACACGAGGGGTTTTGCTCCCGGAGCATGCTCCAGTATCATTTTGCACGTGTCAGTACACACGAGGGAGCGTTATTTGCCCCGGGAGCTTGCTCCCAAATATTTAACTGGTTAAATATCGTGGCTCCCGAGGATGAAGTATACCCATGAAATCGTTGGTACACACGGAGGAACTTTGCTCCCGGAGCGTGCCCCTGGAGCAAAATCCCTCGTGTGTATCGGCCTTAAAACCAGGCTCAAGAACCCAATTACCAGAATTCAATTTATTTACCTTTTTTTTGTGCAAATGCCAGGGAAGCTCAATTAAAACTGTGCCCCGTAAGCAAAATTCTTGAGGTGAGGATGCAGGTAAATTAAAGTATGGTGACGTTATCGTGTTACAGACGCAAAACTGAAGCGACAAACTGAAACAGCGACTGCAACAAGAGAATCCAGCGATATTCATACAAACACACTGTAAACATGAACTCCAAATTTAATGTTAAAGGGCAACTCTCGCGTAGGACAACATTTTTCAGAAAAACCTTGCAAATGTTTTTCTCATTGTAATACCATCAAGAAATATATCCTCAGCGATCTATTTGGCTCAGAAATCGAGATTGACAGTGTTAAATTTGCCGCTTACTCGAACTTCCGCCATTAAGGGACGGACCATTAGAAAAGTTATGGGGGGGGAGGGGAATTTTCGAGCTGCAAGAATTTTTTTTCCTTATCAGATTCTTTGCATGA